ATATCTCTATAACTTTAGGAATAATCCGTCCAAATAGACAGAGTAAGACTTTGCAAGAGGAAAAAGTAGACATTATTTTATAGATAAAGAAACATTTTGTAGATAAAGAAACTGAATAATCAAATAGTTTTTAAATCTGAGCTCATAAAACTAGCAGATCAGAATCTAGATAAAAACTCATTATGATACAGTCCAAAGCTTGAATGCTTTCCATTAATCACTGTGGGAAGACATTTTGAGCAGCTATTGTTGCTGCTGTTATGTGCTACAGAGTCAAAATTACTCGCAGTTCACCCTCCAGTAGATTTTTAATAGATCATTAGAGAAGAGGAGACTGTATATCTTTCTCCTGATGAGCAGGTGCTAGATTTGAACCACTGGGTTGGCAGTTCAAAGTCTTATGAACTGGGTCATCAGAGCTCCCTAGAGTTTATCATTTAATCTTGTTATTGATTGCTGTCAAGTCAAACACCATCATAGCAACTCTATGAACAAAAACATCTAATGCCTTTCCATAACTATAAAAATTTCTCCAAGTTCATAGAGTTTCCAGAGGCATGTGCTTTAGGAAGTGGATGCCACTCCTGCTTCCAAACCTATTTTAAAACTGGGAGCACCACTAAACACAGTCCACATTTGGAAACCATTGGGGTATTTGATACCACAATGGTACAAGGTTCAGCATCAACTTATCAAGTTTATGAATGTATATTTAGTGATGGTTTTTATCTTTAATATGAGGAAATATTTATCATCCATGGCTTTTGTAAGACCTTAATGAGATTTAAAGTGCTTTGATACATAGCAGTCAAAAGCAAAATGTAGTCCTCTAGAAACAAGGTCATTGGTTAGAAATATATAGTTTGGATTCAAAGATGGAACTTCTTTGCTCTAAGACAAATGGACTTTTCCCCTGATAATAACATATACTTGGTTTGTAATTATTGGTGAGGGAAATTCCATTTCATATTTTTTGTATAGCATACATGATTTATGTACTGATTTTGGAGAGAGAGAAAAAAAGACAAAACTCAAGGCTTTCTTTTTGCACTGATTCTGGATGACACTCTCTATCTCCCCATTAGTCATAGTCTACTCTTTATGCATACTATGAGACTGAAGGCTTTTGAAATTCATCATATGATTGGGAATTTTATTTTGAAAGAGGCCAGTTACAAAGCTTGACAAACTCTGGTTCTTTTATACCCAAGACTCTGATAACTTTCATGATGATTGGGGATATCTACATTTTTTTTTTAAATTTCTTTATTTTTCATTTCAATGAACATCTACAGAGATTTTGGAATTCCATTCATTCATTGTTGCACCCCTCTCCCCGCCCCTCCATCCCACCCCACCCCCATTTGCTCCTCTTCTTCAAATGCAAAAGAAAAACTCCCTCATTGGTACACAATCCCCCACACACATCCCCCAACCCCCAGATATAATCCACTCTGCAACCCTCATTCCATACTCTTACGATAAACATAATGCCCTAAAATATTCTCTCCCCCAAAGACTTCAATACCGTAAACATATTTCATCCAGTTTTTCTCAGTCTTACCCCCATCCCGATGCCAACCCCATTCTACAACAGTGACACCACACAGCATTTGTCCCTCTGTGACTGAAATACCCCACTCAGCATAATGTCCTCCAGGGTCACCCATTTTGAATAATATTGCGTGAGTTCCTTGTTTTTCAATGCAGCATAATATTCCATTGTGCGAATAGAAACTCGTGTGTTCCCTGATATGGACTTTAATGCACTGGAAGAAGAATAATGGAAAGAGTATTAATAGTAGGTATTTGAAAAATGCCACTCATTCATTGTTTTCAAGTGGGAACTGACTCATAGGTGACCTTCCAGCAGGCTTCCCAGGCTGTAAATCACATAGGAGGAGATAGTCTATCTTTCCCCAGAAGACTTGATGATGGATTCAAGCCTCAAGATAGCTTTGGCCTTTGACTTATCAGCACAACGCTCTATATTGACTAGGTCACCAGAGAAAATGATAGGATAATGCAGTCATAATATTTCTGAGAAATATTGACTGTTCTTTAGATCTCACTAATACCTGGTATTATTCTCATTTGTTTTAAAATTGAAGATGTATACGCTTAAGAATGTGCAAAGAAGAGTCATATTTTCTTCTCTTGTCAGTCACTGATATACCAGTGAAATGAGACTTTATCTTTGATAAGGATATGGGGATGAGAATGGGAAGCATGGAGAATCTTGGAACTCAAGAAAAACCCTGGAATTTAAAAGAGATACTAAAAAGAATGAGGACACAGGGGATTTTCATATAGAAGCAGGATGACTAATACTATAGACATTACAATCTTGCTAAAATAAACCAAATGATTGCACCAAACTGTATCTCTCTGAGAGTCAAAGAGACCTAAAAGCTCCATGAAGACTGGAAGAATGCAAATCTATGAAAATTTCAAAACTCTACTAAGTAGAGAAAACCATAGGAGTCCAGTGTTAATTAGATGAAAGCAATCATTTGACAAGGTAGACAAACTGTAGACAGGGATGAAGGTCTTTTCAAAGCTCACATACTAGGTTACAGCAAGGCCTGAATTTCTAGCTCTCTGTAGTTCATAATTCAGGAGAAATTAAAGTAACTAAAAACACAAAGTGAAGGGTCAGTTAAAATAGAGAAAGATTCTCAGTGAGACAGATTGACCCAGTGGCTACAACATGACCAAGCACAGCAGACACTGTGGATGGCACAGGACGGGAGAGAGCCAGAATTGCTGCGATCAGAGCTAACTAATGGCAGTGTAACGGCATTAATATAAAAGGCCAAAGAAACTGATTGACAAAATGTGTACCTTTTATTTACATCCTCTAAGATTTGGCACATACCTCTCATTCAATTTTTGCTGACTATTTGTGAATGGATAGACCCTGAATTGAGTTAATTCATTTAACACATGAGAATCATGTTCCATTTATACAACTAAATTTTATTTTACTTTTCCTAGTAGAGAATTTTTAATGTTTGGAAATTGCATTCCTCATCATTCTGGGGGAGGGGATCTATCCAGGGTGATTGATTAGTGATTCCTACTATCAAATGCTATTGCCACAGCCAATCACTATGTGAACAATTTTTAAGTAAAAACAAAGAAAGAAAAAAGAAAAACCTCCTAAAACCCACCAAAATAAGAAATAAAACTGTTATGTCTTGCTTGGCATGCCTTTTAAAATATTATCTTTTTATTATTATATTTTATTTTAATGAACATTTACAGAGATTTGGGGTTTTCATTCATTCATTGTTGCACTAGTTTCTCTACCCTCCTCCCCAGTTCGTTCTTCTTTTTTTCCCCCTTTGAAAGTCTGTTTTAATTGTCCAATTGCCACAGTGCTTGTCAAAGCCAGTTCTGATTAATCTCCTTTGTCAGTGTGTCCTTTGCCATTCCCTATCACTCCTCCCTGAGAGAGACTTCACCATGATTCATAAGGAAAAGGGGACAGCGTATTCTCTTAGCTACTTCCTGCTGGAAAGGGACGCTGTAGGTTTCAGGGTGAAGATCTTCTCTCACTACTCTAAAGGGCCCCTTTGGCAGTAGGAAACACATAGACTATTATGGAGATTGATTTTGGAATTTAGATGCACTCTTCTTGATTGTGCTTAGCCGTGCATGTTCATATCCTTGAAGATGTAACATGGAAGTGTTGCAGCCTAGAAGACACAAATTTAACTAACTTGTTAGTTAAAATATTAATTTATAATTATGTCAAACTGCAGAGTTAAAAGTTGCAAGAATCTGTTGAGAATTTAAGATTCACTCATGATTAAGTTAATTGAGTAGTATATTTTTTAGGTCCATACGTTTTCAAGCTATATGTGGAACAGATCATGTGGGAGGATGGACTTTATGAGGAGGAATGTGACATCAGGATTGGAGGAAGACCCAGCAACAGCCTACATTATGCAGATGACACAACCTTGCTTGCTGAAACTCAAGAGGCCATGAGACATTTGCTGTAGAAGGTCAAGGACTGTAGTCTTCAATATGAGTTGAAACTCAACATCAAGGAAACAAAGATTCTCACCACTAGGCCAATTTACAGCACTATGATAAACAGAGAAGAGATTGAGATTGCTAACAATTCAGCTTGTTTGGCCCCATAATTAACACTCTCGGTACCAGGAGTCAGGAAATAAAAAGATGAATTGCAATGGGGAAATATGCTGTCAGAGACCTCTCCAGTGCACTAAAGAGTAATGATGCCAGTCTAGAGACTAAGGTGTGCCTGATCCAGGCCATGGTCTTCACAATTACTTACTATACATCAGAGAGCTGGACAATAACTAAGGATGATAGAAGAATTGATGCCTTTGAGTTGTGGTGTTGGAGAAGAGTATGGAACATACCATGGACTGCCAAAAGAACAAACAGGTCTATCTTAGAGATAGTGAAACCAAGTTTCTCCTTGGAGGCTAAGATTTTTTTTTTAATTAATTTTAATGAAAATTTACAGAGACTTAGGATTTCCATTTATTCATTGTTGTACTTTTCTCCCTGCCCACCCCTCTGCCCCTAATTTGCTCTTCTTTTTGAAAAGCAAAAGAAAAATTCTTTCATTGTTACATAATCTCTCCCCCAAGTACACACCACTGTGGAGGTTAGGATTTTGAAGCACTGTCTCACATACTTTGGGCATGTGGCCAGGAGGGACCAGTTTTTGGAGAGGAACATCATGCTCAGAAGAAAAGAGGGAGAGAACAGGAGAAGAAAACCCCAGATGAGACGGATTGAACAGTAACTCAGGAGATGGGGGTAGGTGTGTTAAGAGTCAGTAAGCCTGGCTTGCGATAGAACAGGTTTCAGAGCTGTTGTACATAGGGTCGCTATGAGACACAGGTGACTGGAAGGCACCTACTAACAACAATATTTTCTTTTTCTATCTTCTGCCACCATTCTTCTACCCCTATAGTTTACTTGTGATAAAAGATTTCCTTTGCTCTTTTTCATCTTTATTGTGGTTTTTTCCCACATAATTTTTTGAAAGCAGCTTTCACATCCTTGTTTCGTAGACTGTAGATTAAAGGATTCAACATAGGGATTATAATTGTATAGAAAACAGAAGCCCACTTGTCCTGGTCCAGGGAGTAGCTAGATGTTGGTCTCAGGTACATAAACATCACAGTACCGTAGAAGAGGGTGACGCCTGTGAGGTGTGACCCGCAGGTGGAGAAAGCTTTAAGACGACCTTCAGCTGAGCGCATTTTGATAATGGCAATGAGGATGAAAAAATAGGAGATGAAGATGATGAGGATGGTGCTGAACTCGATGAAACCACACAGACTAAAGAGCAAGATCTCACTGATGTAGGTGTCTGAGCAAGAGAGTGCCAAGAGTGGTGGGATTTCACAGAAGAAGTGATTTATGATATTGGAGCCACAGTAACTCAAACTGAAGGTGAGGGAAGTGTGGGCTACTAAACTCACCAGACCCGCGAGGTAAGAACCCACCATGAGGGCCCAGCAGACTCGCTTGGACATGAGTGTGCTATAGTGGAGGGGTCGACAAATAGCCACAAAACGGTCATAGGCCATGGCAGCTAGGACATAGCACTCAGCATCTACGAAACCTACAAAGAAAGCGAACTGGGTGGCACAGCTGGAGAAGGAGATAACTTTGCGCTTAGTTAGGAAGTCAGCCAGCATCCTGGGGGCAATGGCTGACGAGTAGCCCAGATCTACAAAGGAGAGATTGCAGAGAAAAATATACATAGGTGTGTGAAGCTGTACGTCTGTTATGATCAAAATAATCATGCCGACATTCCCTACTACGTTAACCATGTAGACGATCAGGAAGACCACGAAGAAGATGACCTGTAGCTGAGGGTCTTGAGTGATGCCCATGAAGATGAACTCAGTCACCACCGAGTAGTTCTTTTCATCCATCTCTTCTGTTTATATGCACTTAGATGGATGCAGTTGATGACTGTAGCGATTTCCCTTTCACTAACAGTATCCAAACTAAAGATGAACAATCCTAAGCAAGATGCACTGTAAAAAACATTTTCTACAGTAGGTGAAAATTTTATTTGGGATGATTCCTAAATTCTTCCCATTAATACAATTGTATGACAAAAAGAACAATTCAAATGACTTTGATGAAGGTGATGGACAATTGGTCCTCTCTAGGAGCGTGGTCAAAATAGAAGATGCTTGCTTCTTGGGCATAAGAAACGGTGATTCCTCAGTGATGCTGATGGTCTGGAGCTGTGTACCACGTTGCACTGGGTGCTTGACCTGAGAAAAGCAATTACAAGAAGAGTAGTTTTGAATGCTCCTCGCGCTTTTCTAAACTGAAGTAAATATAAATGGAGATAATAAATAAAGGTTAGCTCACATTGTAGGCAGACAGAGCAAGAAAGCACAACATGAACAACACGGGAAACTAAAAATATAACGTATCACACTTACGTGTTTCTAAAAAGTGAAATGCTGATGCAAAAGGGCAGCTATATAAGAAAAAGAAGGGGGATATAAAAATACGTTGAAAGATTTATGGTGATTTAGGGTTTCCTATGTGCCAGGCCTTTAGTGAGTGTTTTAAAAAATATATAATTTTATCCTCACAAAAGTTCTATGAGAAAAAAAAAAGTTCTATGAGGTGGATATCATTATTCATCTAAAACCTACAGACAGACAAATAAATGAACAAATAAACATATTAAATGACTTCAAAGTCAAAATTCGATCTAACTGTAGTGCTCACTCCACTCTACTGACTGATTTAATGCAGGCTAAATCTCATCATTTGGGGGCCTTCCTCTCCATTCTTGGACTGTAGGTCATGCATGGGGTTAACACCAGTTCTTATTGTTTAGGCATTCCATTCTTACACATTTACTCTCCTCAAAACAAAGTTTGTATCCGTAGAAGAATGCTATAACACAAATTTTCATAGCAGTTTCATTTGTGTTAGCCAGATACGCTACGAAAAAATCTTAATGTTCATCTGTATAGGTGATTAGATTTAAATAGCTTGAACACCCATCCATAAATTACTAGATAAACACGTTGTATTGGATGCAGACAATGGAATACTAGTCAGAATTGAAATGAATACATGAGCTATACATGCCACATGAATGATAAATCATAAAATAATTATGATGAGTGGGAAGAAAAACCAAGGAAACAAGTTTACAGTCCCATGTAGAAATCGTTTTATTGTACCATGTTAAAATACCCTAGAAAATTCAAACTAGTCAGTGTTGTGGTTATGTGCCATCGAGTCGCCTGCGACCCATAGTCAGTACTAGTCAGTACTAGTCAGTAGTGAGAGGAAAAGGAGGGGTTGCCTGAAGAGGGTGAATGTGGAGAAGAGGAATAGGCAGGGTTTATAAACAGAAATAAAATACATTTGAGGTGACGGATAAAACCGCTCTCTGGATTGTGGTAATGACTCATACATATGTATGTGGCTCTATCTATCTGTATCTACACCGACTTCTACATCTAGGTAATAAAAGAGCCTGGTAGTAGGAGTTGCACTGTCCATGCCAAGTTAGAATACATCAAATGCTCCATGGAAGAAAGATGGGCAATCTCCTCCTTTCCTCATATGTGATGTACTGCCTCTAAAAACCCATTAGAGAGTCAGCAACAGGTTAGTTCCTACTCTATGGTACATAACAGCAAATACATACATATACCTATATACATAGATAGATACAGATATATACCACAACATATATATATATATGTGTGTGTGTATGTGTCTGTGTATATATATGTATATATATTGTTGTTATGTGCCATCAAGTCGCTTGCGACTCATAGCGACCCTATGTACAACAGCCCTAAACCCTGCTCTATCCTGTGCCAATCTCACTGCCTCTGACACACCCATCCTGATTACCCCAGTCACTGAATCAATCCACCTCATAGAGGGCCTTCCCCTCCTGCACTGTCCCTCCACCCTCCCAAGCATGATGTCCTTCTCCAAGGACCTGTCCCTCCTTACAACATGTCCAAAGTATGTTAAACGAAGCCTCAGAATCCTTGCCTCCAAGGAGCAACCTGGTTTAACCCTTTCCAGGATGAATCTGGTTGTTTTCCTAGCAGTCCATATATACCACACATATATACATGTGTGTATATATATATAAACCACAACATATATATGTGTGTATATATATATCAATAACATATGTATATATAGTACAACATATATACATATGTTTGTTGTTTTTATGTGCTGTTGTGTCATTTGCAACTCATAGTGACCCTATGGACAACAGCCCTAAACCCTGTGCTATGCCTTGACAATCTTACTATCTCTGACATGTCTATCCCAGTCACCTCAGTGACAGAATCAATCCATCTTATCGAGGGTCTTCCTCTCCTGTGCTGTCCCTCCACCCTCCCAAGCATGACATCCCTCTCTGAGGACTGGTTCCTCTTTGAGACACATCCAAAGTATGTCAGACGAAACTTGACTCCAAGAAGCAGCAAATTTTACCCTTTAAATATGTACAATTCATTATACTACAATAAAGCTTTTTAGAAAAGAAAAATAAGTGCTTGCCTCTTAACCGATTCAGCTCATATCCAGTCTAGGTGGTTGCACACATAATTTCATAAATTAGGTCAATTAGGAAACAAAGACTTATTAGGTTGACACATTTCACCAAGACTCTCAATGATTTAGTTGCAGAATCAATCACTAAAATTAGCTTTGTGAATTTCTCTCATGTTGATATGATGATTTATTCATTAATCACAATGGCACATAAAATTCATACCAAACCCGCTGCCATTGTAGCCTAACTCAAGATAACCTTTCCCAGACTGTCAAAGCTGTTCAACTGAATGGGAACAGATAGCTGTATCTTTGCCCCAAGAAATAGCTTACAGGTTTATGGCTAATATTGGCTTAGCATCCCAACACTTAACTCACTATGCCATCAGGATTATGAAAATTAACTAAAAATAACAAAACCAAAATTCTTGCTATAGTCCTTCAATTTTTCAGCCTTGTTTTCCTCTTTGATGGAAGATAATACAATCTTAATTTTAAAGCTGGATGGATTCCATCCAACCTCATAATTTTGTAACTCAGGAAACTAATTCTAAAGACATCAATTCTAAAGTTTCAAGACGGTAAACACACCTCAGTAGCGAGAGGAGCATAGGATGCTTAGTAAAATGCCAGCACGAAGTGATAGGGCTCAGTTCACAACCAGTATGTGCTAGCCTGTGAATTCTAATTTTTACAACTGGAAAATTTAGTAGAAAAATTCTTCTTACCTCCCTTTTAGATTGAAGATGTTAATGTGGGAGAAAGTGCTTTACAAATAATAGAGTTTTGTTTCTTTTGTTACACTTGGGAAATGCAGTCACAGTCTTTAGGCAGCCATGCTGCTAGCGCAGAGCACCACACCTCTCCGGTGATTGAACTCCACCAGTGGCTCTGGGGGAAGGATGTTCTTTACAATCTCAGAAACCCAACGGAGTGTCAGTTATCGGGTTAGTTCTAATTGAAGGCGATAGAAAGAGCTGAGAGTTGACCACTGTTTAGCTATTGGTTTATTCTCATTCCTTACTTTCCTGGAGCCTTAGTTTCTCATGTGTTAAATGGAATTAAAAATGCACTAAGACAAAAAAAAAAAATCACAGTGTTGTTTAGTCTTTCGGATCTAAAATTTAGTGCCTCTGACTATTGAAGAAATGGTAAAATTAAGAATAAATAAGCAAACTCTATGGAGTTCCGGTAGCATAGTTAGTTACATGTTGGGCTGATAATCCAAAAGCCAGCATTTCTAATCTCTACCAGTCACTCCATGGACTGCCAAGAAAACAAACAGATTCATCCCAGAGAGGGTTAAACCAGGCTACTTCTTGGAGGCAAGGATTCTGGGGCTTCGTCTGACATACTTTGGACATGCTGTAAGGAGAGACAGGTCCTTGGAGAGGGACATAATGCTTGGGAGGGTGGAGGGACGGCGCAGGAGGGGAAGACCCTCTATGAGGTGGATTGATTCAGTGACTGGGGTAATCAGGATGGGTGTGTCAGAGGCAATGCGATTGGCACAGGATAGAGCAGGGTTTAGGGCTGTTGTACATAGGGTCGCTATGAGATGCAAACGACTCGACGGCACATAACAACAAACAACAACCAGTCACTCATTATTAGGAAAATCACGAGGCCCTATGGTCTTGTTGAGTTTTATGTAGCTGCAGAGATACTAATGAGTCAGAGTCAACTAGGTAGCAGAGCGTTTGTTTTGGGGGTAAGCAAATCTTATAATTAACAATGTTGTTATGTGCCATTGAGTGACCCAAAACGCATAGCGACCCTGTAATAACTCGGTGGCTCTGAACCTTGCCCTACCCTGAGCCAGTCTCACTGACTTAACACCCTTAATCCCATCACCCCAGATACTATGTAAATCCTTCCCTTCTGGGGTCTTCCTCTCCAGGTCTATCCCTCCATTCTTCCAAGTGTGATAAACTCACATACTTTCTAGAAGATGGCCACAGTATTTGCTTCATCGAAATAAATTCAGACTTGAGATTTGTTTGTGTCATCTGTTTTGACACGTTAACTTGAAAAGAATAGTGAACCAATGTTTTTTGTGGTTTTTATTTTCTGTCACTAACTCATTGTTTAATCTTGGTGATACATTGGATGTAGCTTCCTTATGTGTGAAATAGCTGGAGTAAAAATAAAGACACTTACTGTTCTGCTATTCATTGAATTTTTACTTTTATGCAATTCCTAAAAGTCAATGCATTACCTTTGTGTCATTTATAAATTTTTAAATGGAATATCTAGATATGTACATAGAGATAAAGATGATATATAGGTAGATATAGATACAGATATAGATATAGATGATATAGATGTAGATTAGAGAGATGGAGATAGAGATAGAAAATAGATATAG